AATGGACATCAATTTGAACATGTCAATGAATAATTCCGGAATTCAATTGTTTCAGTAAATATTTAATCAGGTGCTTTTTCTACATTATGAACTTTTTATTACTATTTATTTGTTGCTATCAGGTACCCAAGTTTAATGTTTTGTTAATTAACAAGTGTTGATATTGGTTTTGACCTCTCTATGAAAAAATTTAAAGAAATATTTCTTCAATTGGAACGTTTTTTATAAGAAAAATCCATAACCAACTATCAAAATTCAATATTTTAGTGATTTTTAGCAATTTTGAAAATTTTATTATTATTCATCATATATCATTTTGAAGACAAAAAAATTAGGAATTTATTGAGCTCATGAAATACAGGGTGTTCTATTTAAAAATTCATAAGTTTGAGTCGTATCTCCAAAACCATACCCCGAGAAAAAAATTTGAGTGCGCCACTGGATTATGCGTGAAATTCTCTATGCGATGAGATTTTGATTTGACATTTTTGTTGAGAAACTTCGTAGATATAGAGAGGGTCCAAAAAGTTTGAATTTTCAAAATCGCCCTGTATCTCATAAACGGTAACAGTCTTGCAAAATCTGATCAAGCCATCTTCAGTTTCACAAAAAAGTGGCACAGGACCGTGAAAACCGCAAGGTTCTATCTCCAAAGATAACTGAGATATCACGCAAAAGCATCGAAAACGGGACACACTGTACACGTTCGTACCTGACTTGCGTATACCGGGAGAGAGGCGTTCCCGCAACGTTTAATTTTCCCCGTTTTGAGAGCACGACTATCAAAATTTTACTCGCAATAATATTGTTGAGTGTGCCTGGTGCCATGGATAGCCAAGATGCATAACATTTTGAAGCTATTCTTCTTCTTCTTTGGAAAACAAAACACTCACCACAACCGCACAGCAAATTCGATAATTAAGGGTTATTTCTAATTAAAAACTGGTGTGAAAAATGCAACTTTAATATCCATTCCTCATCAGGATTACTTCAGTCCTATTTATGTACACATTCCCTTTCGTGTTTAGAAAGCAATTCCAATTTTCCGGTGAACTCACAACCGTTTTTGGAAAATAGACAAGGGAGCACTACTTCATCAGCCAAATTCTCCAAAGGGAAATTTCTCAATTTTCCAAGTTCTGTTCTACAAGAAGGACATTCAGTCAGCTGGATTTTGCAGTTGATGCACAATACATGCCCTTCATCGCAGCTATAGATTTTGTCGATCATGTACTCCATGCATATAGGACACTGTAATTGCTTTT